CGCTATGTCCAAGAAGCGACCGGCATCTCAAGACCTGCCGTCTTCTCAGTCTAAGACTAGGAAAGCGTCCATATCATCACGTACACTTCGAACCCCCAGGTCTTCAGCTACGTCAAAAGGGAAATCTGCAAAATCGCAGGGGCAACGGGCGCATTAAGGAAGTCTTACAGAAAATCAGTCAAATGCAGAGCCTCCATCTGATTTCGTCACGCCCTACTGGCTAGCGAGAACTTGGTTTCCAGATCTCATACAAGAAATCGGGAAAACCAATTCTTTAGCTCCCACAACGCACCAATCTATTGATACATCCGCTCACTAAACAAGTGCACGAAACACCAGAAGCATTCCAACTTCACGCATGGATTGTATCAAGGCATGTCTGAATAAGAGGGGTTATTCTGCCAGAGCGGCTAAAGCGGTCACGCTTGCACTACGTAACTCAACTCGTAACTTTTACAATGACAAATGGCACAGTTTTGTCAATTACGCTGCTAAGAAAGGATTTTCAGCCAGATATGCTACACATCCTCAAGTGGCAGATTTCTTATGTTATCTACGTCAAACTAAGAATCTAAAAGGCTCATCCTTGTCCACATATCTTGCAGCTATAAGTTCTGTCATAACTATGAGAACGGGCGTCAAGTTGACAATAACACCGGAGTTACTCGCTTTAATACGAGCGTTCTGATTGGAAGATCAGAAAACGGAAGTTTCAAGATCCAGCCTGGGATCTAAATATAGTGCTCCAACACCTCACGAGCGAGGCTTATGAGCCATTGTTATCTACATCGTTTGAATCACTGACCCACAAAACCTTATTCCTGTTAGCATTAGCTACTGCCGCCAGGATGTCTGAGATTCACGCTTTGGATTACGAGAGAACACGCTTTGATGATACTCATACATCGCTCATCTGGGACTTCGCTGGGATTTTATAGCGAAAAAAACAAAACACACCAAAAAAAACCTGCCAGGTCAACCAGACAGATTATTCCATGTCCCAGCTCTCTCATCCATTCTTGAACTGCATGATACGATGGATTTATCACTATGTCCAGTAGTGCACTGAAAATATATCTCCAACGATCCAAACAGTCCAGAGGGAAATTCAAGAGATTGTTTATCCCTATATCTACAGCTTTGCAGACAGAAGTCTCGCGTACTACGATTTCTATCTGGATCAGAACTGTCATACTACGAGCCTACAAGGCTGCAGGACTCGACCCTCCAAGAGCTTCTAATCCTCACGAAATTAGACCGCTAGCCTCAACTCTCGCTCTACATGGGAATTGCTCGTTGAATACCATAATGGAGGGATGTTTCTGGAGATCCGATATGGTGTTTGCCAACCACTATCTGAGAGATATCACCACCAAGGACGTCTCAGGTATCCACCATTTCGGTCCCATGGTCCTCGCTCAACAGTTGACAGTTCCACGGAGAAGATAAGTCTATCTTGTTGATTTTATACTTATGATAACAGTACTAATAGATACATGCTATCTATATATTTTGCTTAAGTTTAATTTATTATCTTAAGCTCAGTACTATGGTTTTTAAATCATACTATATATAAGCTAACAACTCTACGGAGTTTGTTATTATATATTTAGCTTAAGTTTATCATATCTTAAGCTCAGTTCTATGGTTTCATTATAATGTATTAGCTAACAAACTCTACAGAGTTTTTGCTATTATATATGTAGCTTAAGTTAATTATATCTTAAGCACAGTACTATACTCATAGCATAAAATATATTAGCTAACAAACTCTACGGAGTTGTTGCTATTATATATGAAGCTTAAGTTTATTCATATCTTAAGCTCAGTACTATGTTTATATCATATAAGTATATTAGCTAACAAACTCTCAAGAGTTTTTGCTATTATATATTTAGCTTAAGTTTCATCATATCTTAAGCATTATGGTTACATTATAACAAGTATTAGCTAACAAACTCTACGGAGTTTTTGCTATTATGTATTAGCTATTCATATCTTAAGCTCAGTACTATGTTTATATCATATAAGTATATTAGCTAACAAACTCTCAAGAGTTTTTTGCTATTATATATTTAGCTTAAGTTTCATCATATCTTAAGCATCATGGTTATATTATAACATGTATTAGTTAACAAACTCTTCGGAGTCTTTGCTATTATATATGTAGCTTAAGTTAATTCATATCTTAAGCTCAGTACTATGTTTATATCATATAAGTATATTAGCTAACAAACTCTAAAGAGTTTTTTTGCTATTATATATTTAGCTTAAGTTTCATCATATCTTAAGCATTATGGGTACATTATAAAATGTATTAGCTAACAAACTCTACGGAGGTTTTTGCTATTGTATACGTAGCTTAAGTTTATTCATATCTTAAGCTCAGTACTATGTTATATCATATAAGTATATTAGCTAACAAACTCTGAAGAGTTTTTGCTATTATATATTTAGCTTAAGTTTCATCAGATCTTAAGCATTATGGTTACATTATAAAATGTATTAGCTAACAAACTCTACGGAGTTGTTTTGGCTATTTAGGTAGCTTAAGTTAATTATATCTTAAGCACAGTACTATACTCATATCATAAAGTATATTAGCTAATAAACTCTAAGGAGTTTTTGCTATTATATATTTAGCTTAAGTTTAATCATATCTTAAGCTCAGTACTATGTTTATATCATAAAAGTATTTTAGCTAACAAACTCTAAGGAGTTTATGCTATCATATTAACAAGCTTAAGTCTATTAGTCTTAAGCATTGTATTAATGTTATATATACTTTTATCATAATAAGTAAATTGTAATAACCTTTATGTGGCAGCGGATAAGTTAGCAGCAGGAATTCATCAGTTCAGTGCCTTTATGAAGTTTCCATAGGGTTATTACAATCTTCACAGTTCAAATCACTAATTATTAAAATCCAAAGTATTATATATTCCCACCTCCTCTCCGTCGGATTCTACAAGCAATAAGCATGAGTCAGGATAAGGAAAAATATGTAATTTTTAGAGTAAAATTGATATTTTATACTTATCCTGACTCATGAGGTAAGCCCTCCCATCCTCCCCACATAACACTTTGGATTTCCCTGGAAATTCAAGTGTTGGGCTCAGTATATGAGGAGAGAGTGAGGCACATGGGTTGAGGTGGCGCCCTCATTCCCGCGCTTGGGCAAGGGAGGTAACTCGTGGTGAGTACTAATTAGTGATTTCTTTATTGAAGGGAACTTCAATTGGGAGATACACGTGTTCCACTATGTTCGCAAGAAGAAGAAGACAAGCAATAAGCATGAGTCAGGATAAGTATAAAATAACAATTTTACTCTAAAAATTACATACTTATCCTATCTCACAAGATGGATGCCCACTCAGCCTCCCCTCTACTAAGATTACGACGGTTACGTATAACTGTAATTGGCTCCAAGAAGAAAATGATCACTCTGAGGTAGTCACGTGTGGGTAGACAGGGGAACGTGTTGCACGCTTAGCCGGGGACTAGGGACCTGTCCTATAAGGAGGGCAGCCTGGGGAACACGGGCATATGGACAAGAGAGGCCTACAGGAAAAGTTCTCATTCGTTCCACTCAGCGTCGAAGCAAGAGAGAGAAGTGCAAATCGTGAGATAGGATAGTATATAAATATACTATTCATATTAAAATTTTCCATTCTGAAAATTGGTTACGCTATACAATTTTGTAAGTCACAGGTATTTTATTTGAGTTGACACCGGTAAAAGCATTCAGAAGCTAAGCGTATGATCTTTTGGGTGTCGATTGTGTATATTGCGTGTTCTTGATGATGAAGTTTTCACAATTTTTTTCCGAATGCATGTCATAACCCGTATGTAAGTGAAACAAAATGGCGGAGCCGACCATGTGCTCACCGCAAACTTTTAGTGCTTGGACTTCACTTTCTTTAGATCGAGGGTTGGCATCTCTAAATGTGGTCATGTCAGACCTGGGCTGATTTGTGTGAAACTCATTTCTGTTGTGCCCACTGGAATATTGCTTGAACTGTACTCACTCACTAATGTTTAATTTTACATTCTAAGTGTGAGGCGATGGGTAGTAATAATAATAGTAAAAATAAATGCATATTTATAATGCACCCCTTCCACACCTAAGGCATGCTCAAAGCGCAACAGAATATTAACACTGGAATATTTACAGATGAAGTTATACATAATATACTGAGAAAAGGTGGGTTTTAAGTCTGGACTTAAAAATGTCAATTGTGTCTGAGCTTTTAAGGGCACATGGGAGAGAGTAGTCGAGATATTGCTGGAATATTGCTAAAAGCAGCGTAAAATCATACTCACATAATTTTAAGTGATTAAGTTAAAAATAACCATAGAACAAAATTTTCTTTGTCTGCATGTTGCATTCAGCTTGGAATCCCTGATAAATATACAGTGGAAACCGCCTAAGGAAAGACCGCTTAACTAAAGAGATTTTGTCCCGCTTCAAAGCTATCAATTTAGTAAAGACGACAGTCGATCGAACTCCCATACTTTAACATAACGACATCGACCTCGCTTTGAGGAAGTAAACACTTTTCCTTGGTCCCGGCAAATTTCTTCATTAATTATGACTATTAGAGTCCTGTTAACTAAACTTGGATAAGTAAACAATACCGCTTAACTAAACGTATTCTCACAGTCCCTGGAAGTAAATTACTTAACAAAAGAGACTGGATAACTAAATTAGCGATCACCACTTAATCCGACATGAGGGGCACGTGTCAGTCTCCAGTTAAACAAACATCCTACTTACAGCTCGCTGGCATCATGCAGTTAACAATACACTGACAACTGGAAGCCAGCCCTGATAAGTGGTTCATTGATACATATGCATACATATATACATGCATATGGTTGTCATTTGCAGATTTTTGTAGGTTTGGATAAGTAAAATACCTGATAAGTAAACAATTTTGGCGAGTCCCTTGGAATTTTACTTATCAGGTTTCCACTGTATGACATGGCTTTTCCTTTAGACCTGGAAAAAAAAGACTGGGAGAGGATGAAGCAGCTGAACGAATGGAACGAGATTGACATCCGGGACAACCGTTACAACCAGATTATACACATGGTGTCTGCAGCTAAGGGAGCTGAGGACTTCTACACAGTTGCCGGACACAAGACACGGCATGAGGATCTTGAGGGTGCTCGGCAACTGGACAGCATCACCGCTAATGTATGTGTGTCACAGCTAAAGTATGTGTGTGTCACAGCTAAAGCATGTGTGTCATACTTGTATCATAATGTGTGTTTTCATGTGGCTCATGATGCAGTAACCATGGTAACAATGCTGTTTGCTTTTCCAGGCTTGGGTTGGACATCCGTACTATGATGTCATTGACAACACGGTGGACTTTGAGACGAAGCTGACCATGATGATAGCAGTAAGTTTTCAAATTTAATTTTTGAAAAGTTGGAATTCTGGAGCATCTTTGTATGTCAACCTTCCACAATGGACGCCCAATGGGAATTTGTGGAAGAGTGTTCACCTAGCAACTTATTCTGGTTGTTAGATGCAACTCGATGGTCCAGGTGGCCAGACTCTTAGTTTCAACAGTTTGTGAAATAAGAGAATCAACTTTATGATTTGTTGTATTCTCCAAGCTCGAACTGTGATGACCTCATTGTAAATACAGGCCGATCGGAATAATCACAGGGTTGTCTGGTCCAGACTTGATTATCTACAGTCTGCTTTATTATTGATGTAATGTGACAGTATGTGTTATAATAATAATAATAATAATGTGGGTATTTATATAGCGCTACATCCAGGTACTAATACCCGCTCATGGCTACAATACTATAGGAGAAAAGAAAATAGGTAAAACTATTTACAGAGAGACAATTGAACATAGAAAGTCTAGTGATAGGCAAGACGAAAAAAGTGGGTTTTTAGAGACGATTTAAATGTGTCCAAAGATTCAGCATTCTTGATGTGAGTGGGCAAGTTGTTCCAGAGACTGGCGGCTGCGTGTTGGAATGATCTTTTCCCATAGGATGAGAGTCGAACTTTAGGAATGACAAGTAGCTGGTGATTCTGGGATCGTAATGGTCGGGTTGGAATGTACTGACACAGAAGACTCGAGAGGTATTCAGGTGTTTGTCCATGTAGAGTTTTGAAAGTGATACATAGAATCTTGAAGTCAATCCGGAATTTGACAGGCAACCAGTGTAGAGACATCAGTGAAGGTGTGATATGATCTTTCTTGGACTTGAGGCAGACGATGCGTGCTGCTGAGTTCTGTAATTTTTTAAGTTTCTGAAGTTGAGTTGAACTGATGCCAAAGTGCAAACTGTTGCAATAGTCGAGTCGAGAGAGTATAATTGATCGAACCAAAGAATGAGCACATTATGATGTTAAAGGTTGGTATGTGACGGTACTGTTTCCTCCTGTCTCTACAGGCTGTGTGTAACAGGATGGGTATTGATGCAGACGACCGACTCGCTGCAGACAGTAGGAAGAGGAAGTTCCTGGTGTCACGTCTGCCTGGAGCCGACGTAAGCGATATCAGACTTATTCATCAGCAGTAACACACTCAGCAGTAACATGTTCGCTCATCACACTGAAGACCTGGGTTTGATTCCCTCCATGGGTACAATGTGTGAAGCCCACTTCTGGTGTCCCCCCGCCGTGATATTGCTGGAATATTGCTAAAAGCAGCCTAAAACCATACATACATACTCACTCACTCACTCACTCACTCTGCAGTAACACAATCTGCAGGAGTCATTTGGCAAAGGGAAAGATTTGATGTTTCTCCAGTTATGAAGGCAGTCGACTTCGACTTCAAAAAGATTTCGGGGCGGTGGGGTAGCCTAATGGTTAAAGCGTTGGCTCGTCACGCCGAAGACCCGGGTTCGAATCCCCACATGGGTACAATGTGTGAAGCCCATTTCTGGTGTCCCCCGCCGTGATGTTGCTGGAATATTGCTAAAAGCGGTGTAAAACCAAACTCAGTCAGTCAGTAAAAAAGATTTCAACATTATTCCAACTCATATGAACTGATTGCACTTTTAAAGATTGTTCCCCTGTTCCAGGATTTCCCACACCACCAGACGTTCACGGTTGTCCATGACTACCTGGTCACTCCCAGCAGGAAGATGCAGGCACGGCTCCGACGCCGGGGACAAGACGGTAACTGTCACTTCACAAAGTCACACATTCCTGTCAGACACCTCACGTTTTGTGAAAACAAAGTCAAAATCTTTAGTTGCATGTATAATCCTTTCATTATCTTGCTGCCAAACATACACTGGAATCCCACACAATGGATTCACCTGATATATTCCTATCTGATAATCTTGCCTCACCGCTGTTTGTCTCCGTCCCTAGCTAACTGGACGTACACTCACACGATCCGGCGGCCCGAGATCAACAAGCAGAGTGTGGAGTTAAGGATGCCAATATCTGCCAAGGATTATGAGGTACAGTTTCATAATACACCTTATTCCTAGAATACTTATAAACCAATCTCTTTCACTCACTCATCATCCTTGGACATCCGGCTTAGAATTGGTCTTCAGCAACCCATGCTTGTTGTAAGAGGCGACTAACGGGATCGGGTGGTCAGGCTCGGTGTCGCTGACTTGGTTGGCACATGTCATCGTATCACAGTTATGTAGATACAGGGGTTCAAAAATCCCATCGCCCGACGCCCGGGGCAAGTCAGTTTTCATTTCGGGCAATCAAATAATGGTATCTTACTTGTGCGTGGGCTACTATATAATTTCCACTTATGGTTTCAAACTGCAAATAAACTTTGATTTAATTTCATATCTGCTCAAAATGTAGCTATTAAATTTCGCAATGATATCAAAGTAGAGTTATCTTTCTTTGCTATTTATCACTTTTCAATAAAAATTCCAGTAAACATTAGCATCAAATACGATGTTGATTTCTTCTTTCATAATTACATCATCATAATTATGTCATAAGATCAGGGCAAGTGGATAATTAGTCAGGACAAGTTACTTTCTTAAAGTCACTTTCCCTGTGGCAAGTGGCTTTTTAAAAAAAAAATGAACCCCTGAGATAGATGCTCATGCTGTTGATCACTGGATTGTCTTGGTCCAGAGTTGATTATTTACAGACGTATGTGTCACATACAGCAGCTTGTTCATAGCTATACACTAGTTCTTGTTTGTAAAATGTAAAATATATCTGTCATTGGCAAGGTATATCCTGCATATTGGATTGGATTCAACCGTCAGTAGGCACAATGGATGGTGTAGTCGTCTACGGAGCCCCAATTCACTGTGTCAAGTTGCATACCTTTGGCATGCCAGAAATGTGTGTCTGTAGGGTTAAATCTCAGTACTGTCAGCATAATACCAAGCTTATGGGTTTTGCCATTCTCTTTCCACAGAGGTTACTTGTCATATCTTCCTACGAACCTCTGTTCTAATACGGCCATATTTCCCGGTTCTCGTAAAATCCCCTAGTGGCAAAAGATCGCAACACGAATTATCTCCCTTCTTTCTATCCATTCAGAACACGTGTTACATCGACTTAGATTCAACTTGACTAACACAAGCAAATGTGGGACCACAAATATCCCCGGGGACTTGTGTTGATGTTACACACAAGACGTTTAATGGCTAGCTTGTCCGTTGTCAACGAGGGCGATGGAGACGCCACTGATCCGCCATAACATGACTTAGTTCTGTCTAGAAGAAACGTTTGCGCATCGCCCAGGGGAAGAAGTTTAGTTTTCCTCGAAGCATACAGAAATTACCGAGGCCATGCGAATGATCACTTTTGAAACAACGTCGCTGATTGCACAACTAAATCTGATTGCCTCCAATCACGAGTCTTGAACACTCACACCATGAAAGGGCCGTATAAGAACAGAGGTTACGTAGTAAGATATGATAGGAGTAACCTCTGTGGGAAGAGAATGGGGTTTCGCCAGTGTGGTAAATGTCTGAAACAGCTTCACTTCAGGTTTTCATTCAAGATTAAGCTGATATGCTGTGATGTGGGTATTCGACAAACACATCATAACGGTTTCCTAATAGTCTTCAGAATACACTTAGCTCTGCAGAAATAACTTCTTCATGGATATTGTCCCCATGTGATTCTCTGATATTGTACCGCCATATAGCTGGAATATTGCTGAGTGTGGCGTAAAACTAAACTCGCTCCCAATATTGTAGCCTCATTTAGAATCAAGTTATTCACATTGGGTATAGGCTTATGACAAGCTCCTTGCCTTGGTAGGGATAGACATCGCTACACAGAGGGAACTTTACATCTGATGTGTACGATTGTACAGAAATACAGATCTGCAGTTTGATGTTTTAGTTTTGAGAATAAATGATATGAATGGAATACTGTTCCAAGTGTCATTAAGGCCACTAACTCAACTGTTACCACTGCCGCCATGTTTCAGATTCTGCTGGCACAGCGTGATGACAAGCATGCCACGGTGTACAAGAAGCGTCACTGTTTCCTATACCAGAACCAGTACTTCCAGCTGGACGTGTACGACGAACCGTGTCCCGAAAAGTAAGCTCTTGAAATTTGTGTTTTGGAGTCATGTTTACTAGGGGTGTCACGATTCGGTTCGGTTCATTGAAAATTGAATCGAAAAATGTACGATTCGATCTCGATTTCAAATGCATCCATTTCGATTCGATTCATAAAGTACTTACTTTCTAATACTGAGAGTTTATTTCACCTGAAATCGTAAGAAATTATGTTGAAAATTCGCTGCTACAAGTGTGGCCAGTGAGAGGGTATGCTCCACTGCTGGAGACATTGTAAGTGCCCAGAGGGCATGTCTTTCAAGTGAAAATTCCTTGCACAGAACATGATCATTCCAAATGACTTACAGTGACATTACAGTCACAATGAACACTTGACACCAGAGTTCGTGACTGAAACTTAATTTCATGATCACTTGTTCAGTGAGTATTTGTTGACAACTTGTCTTGACAGTGTTCTAATTGTGCATTGTGGCAATTTTTCCAAAGTTTGCCAAATTAAACTGATATTACAACAAATTTGACTTTGTCCTCAGCTTTGGTGAATCGAATGGAACAAATTAAATCAATAATCACATCGCATCGAAGTGATAGTGAATCGTGACACCCCTAATGTTTACTATGTTTATTTATGAAGTAACTTTACTCATGTTTAAACCCTAATCCTGCATGCACATTTATGCAGTATGAGAATGCCATTTTTGCTTTAACTGAAACTACTTCCCTAAAACAAGTATGTTGATGTCAATCCTTATTAGTAAATAAATCATTAACATAGCTTCACTGATTGCTTAATTTATCATGAAGACAAAGGAAGATACATCATTTAGCGAAATAATGCTGCAGTGTGATATTTTGCAAGCAACATCTTCTTGTGGATGTATATTGGTTGCAGTCCTCGACGTAGCATAACAAAAGGCTGTAAAATGAATATGGTGCTTGTTGTTCCTCTGCCTTGCAGTCAGCTTTTGAATTAAGAGGGGTCATGGGGTAGCCTAGTGGTTAAAGCGTCCGCTTGTCATGCAGAAGACCTGGGTTCGATTCCCCACATGGGTACAATATGTGAAGCCCATTTCTGGTGTCCCCCACCGTGATGTTGCTGGAATTTTGCTAAAAGTGGTGTAAAACCATGCTCACTCACTCACTCTCTTTGGAATTAAACTAGAACAGGTCAGCTTGGAGTCAAGATACTGTGTCTGGTTGGGGTATTGATTTTAAAAAACATTGTCATGGTCATGGGCTAGGTATAGGAAACTTGCATTAGTCAATGCACATACACACGTACACTGGTGTATATGTGCAATAATCTCAAACACGATATTAAACATGTTTGTTGGGTGGTGGGGTAGCCCAGAGGTTAAAGCGTTCACTCGTCACACCAAAGATCCAGGTTCGATTCCCCAAATGGGTACAATCTGTGAAGCCCATTTCTGGTGTCCCCTGCTGCGATATTGCTGGAATATTGTAAAGTGGCGTAAAACTAAACTCACTCATTACATATTCTGTTTGTTGCAGATGCCGAGGGTTGATCCTTCTGGAGACCTACACTACGTCAGCAGGGCGTTTAGATGTACCTAAATTTTTAAAAATAGAGAAAGAGGTGACGGACGACCCTATGTTTTCCATGTTCAACCTGTCACTCAAGGACGAGTTCTCCCGAAACAAAAAAGAACTGGACTTGTCAAAAGATGAAGACGAGTGATTGGTTTTCTAAGTAATGTGGTCTGTGTTCCGATTGGCCAAAACTTGTAATGAGAACCCGTAAGGCTGAAACGATACACTAAAACACCCAAGTTCAACAAGATATGAATTGTATCATACACAATCTGCCCTTGTCGAGATTCCTGTTTAGCATCATTATGTGCGTTAATGTTGTCATAAAATTAATTTGGTAACACCAGCTGTTGCAACTCACTTTGAGCGGTGGGGTTGCCTAGTGGTTAAAGTGTTCGCTCGTCACGCCAAAGACCCGGGTTTGATTCCCCACATGGGTACAATGTGTGAAGCCCATTTCTGGTGTCCCCCGGCCTGATATTGCTGGAATATTGCCTAAAACTAAAACTCACTCACACACTTGATCAATAAATGGCCATAGACCATGTGGTTGCTCAGACTGAACAATTCTTTTTCATAGAGATCGTCCAAGGTGGGTAGCAGGGAGGTAACTCCACGTGGTGGGGGCCGTATAATAGATAAAAAAAAATTGTTATTTATTGTACAATATTTTTATTAAAACATTGATACAACTGTTACGCGACATTTTCAGCCTCAGAATATGCATATATGTACCCCAAGGACGATTCTCTTCAAAGAATTGGAAACCTCTACAGGTTTAGCTAAATTTATTTTGGCGTGTGAGTGAATAAGGTTTAACGCCGCTTTTAGCAATATTCCAGCAATATCACGGCGGGGGACACCAGAAATGGGCTTCACCCATTGTACCCATGTGGGGAATCAAACCCGGGTCTTCGATGTGATGAGCAAACGCTGTAACCACTAGGCAACCCACCGCCCGATGTTTTGTGTGAGTGATGTGGGTTTTGGCAACAGGAACAGAAGATGATGGGAGAATATGGCTGTATTTCTGTTTTGGGAAGAAAATCGATGTCTGTATTGAATTGGGGTATATTTTGGGTTAGGACTCTAATATTTTCAGTGTTTTACGTTTACAGATTTAGGGCCTAAAAATTCATTCATTGACCAAAGATAACTGGAAGAAGTCCACTACCAAATATATTTTTTATATATTTTCTTCAAAATGTTGATAGGTGGGAAAACTTTGGTGCGGGAGGAAATGGGATTGAAATACATGTAGGTGGAAAATTTCATTGACAGGAATCCTCAATAGTTATTTTTTTTATTCAATGTGTTTTGAAATTTTTATCAAATATTTTCACAAGTTTTAATTTAAAGCATTTTAAATAATTTATGTATATATCGGTAGTGACAGTAAATGTTTTTAAACAATTTGCTTTTTATTGTTTAGGGGAAATATATATAATTAGTTTCATTGTTTTATTTTTCACATTAAAATATTTTGGAGTCAATGGATTCATAAGACGTCTGGCCTTGTTTTAGTACTTAAACAATGTTGAAATTGAAAGTGTTTTGTTTCAATGTTAAGGTGACTTACGGGCCTACTCATGAATGATTCAGAACAGACCTAAAACAGGTCTTTTGTCCTTCAAAGGTGCTTGACTTCAATAATCAGATGACCTATATATTGTGTGGTGAACAGAATATCATGATGTTCGTGTATCATTTCAGATGAGAGGTTTGCTAATGCTTTCTTTATGTCACATGATTTATGTCGTGTTATACTGAACGATGTGTGTTTTGTCATAGAATGTATTCTGTTAACGTATAGGCTGAATTTGTGTTAAAGAACAAGATTGGAATGAGGTGTTGAGAAAATGTTACATTCCTAAATACATCAAAACAAATCAGTTTCGTCCCTTCATGATACTGTACAGGGGTGGAAATAACTTTAAAATTGTTAGTGTACTCTGGTACAGTGGCACATGTAAATCACTCGCCCTGATAATTTGTCCACTATACCAGCCATTTTCTTGTTGATTTTTTAAATAAATAACATAATTAACGTTGGAATATCAACTGGACACCGGTACAGTGTGATATACAAATTTGCTTGCCTGACAGAAAAAAACACTGGACTCGTGCATCGGGCAATGGGTTATTTCCACCCCTGAGTTTGGAAACATTCTTGAAATGCTGTTGTTAGGACAAAAGAAATTGATAACGTTTTATTACTGTCTAAAATACGACCCCAGTTGTAATACAGTGGAAGTTGTCTAAACCGGCACTCGTCAGGACTGCAGAAATAATCCGGTTTCGACAGCCTGCCTGATTGTAGAGCTGACACGGTTACCTATGGCTAGAACCGAACCAGTTCTCATTGAAGCTTTTTGTTTTGGAGCCAATTTTTGGTTCAAATTAGTCTGATAGAAGTCTTTCTTCCTAAGAAAGTCTAAACTAACTCACTCACTCACCCAAACACACACCCACCCACCCACTCACTCACTCACCCACTCACTCACTCACCCATGAATAGCTCCAGCACATAATGATGTATTGTAGACACAGTTCACCCTGTACAATAGTGAAAAGAGGTAGTTGGTGTGGTCCTAACTGAAACAATGGCCATCTTTTTTCTGTAGAATTATTTTACTAAATTTACATTAATATGAAAAGTGATAAACAGTATTCATTTGTCACATAGTTTTACAAATATTTTTTTATAAAAAAGTTAGAATAATCAATATTGTTTTAAATCTCCTTGTTGATTTATGGCATTTATTTTTATTGCCCCAGAAAATGTTAAAAAATATATTCATCCATGAAAACCACTACGTTTTTTCTATTTTTTGCAACAAAATTAGGGAGTTTTTCCATTGGTCTGAACAAAGATGTTTATTACTGATCAAAATTGAACTTATATATATTTATCATGTACATAAACATAATGGCATATTTTCATTTCTGATTTTCGTGGGGGTGGTGGGGTAGCCTAATGGTTAAAGCGTTGGCTCGTCACGCCGAAGACCCGGGTTCGAATCCCCACATGGGTACAATGTGTGAAGCCCATTTCTGGTGTCCCCCACCGTGCTGTTGCTGGAATATTGCTGAAAGCGGCGTAAAACCAAACTCAGTCAGTCAGTCAGTCTGATTTTCGTGAATGTTTTGATACAGTTAGAAATGAAGGTTTTGAAAGAAGTATCTATACCTGACTCAGGATAATAACGTGAGAAGAAAAGCAATCAATTTTGTATTCACTGTATTTCTTTGATGTTGGTTGATGGGACCACTTCACCAAAACCAGTTTTATCAAGAAATCAGAACAATTTCTGCGAGGTAGCCTTGTGGTCTAGGCATTGGCTCATCCCGACGAAGCCCGAGGTTCAATTCCCCACATGGGTACAATGTGTGAAGCCCATTTCTGGTGTCCTCAGTAGTGTTGGGAATTGGATAAAATCTCATAATTGATGATTGGTTCATTACAACCGATCAATCATCAAAATAATTGGTTAGCATCATTGATCAAATTTTTCTGGTTATGTTTGGTACTGCACAAAAAAACAAAGAAAAAGCATGTAGTTCTTATGAGTCTTTTTGCAAATTCCACAAAATGCATGTGCAAATTTAACATCTTTAAAGGATGACTCGTATGTTAGGAACATAAATTTCCTGGAGTCTTTAAGATAAATTCAATCCTGACTTGGAACGAGCTTGTAATGTTTATGAAATGTAACAGACAAAACCAACCTTGTGAAAAATATTGTTAATGCAAACAAGTGTTCCAGAATTGTTTGTGTTCGATTATGAGAAAACATGATCAATTGCTTGGTCGTTTAGTCATTGCGACCAATCTTCGATTATTTCAATTAATGGGACCACCACTAGTCCCCAGCTGTGATATTGCTGGAATATTGCTAAAAGCAGCGTAAAACTATACTCACTCACTCTTTCTTTTGTGCGAGATGTAGTGTTAGTCTTACAGAAATAAATGTGGAAACATGCTGACTGTATTATGCAGAGTTCAGCGAAACCCTGGACCAATTCTTGACTCGGATCTCCTAGTAAACTGTATTCTTTTCATAGAACACACATTTTTTACAAAAAGTACTGGGCTTCTGCTCACTGTAATTGAAAATACAGTTAAAGTTACACAAGTCCTTGTCTAGTTACCGCCTCCGTGGTGCAGTGGTTAGAGCGTCCGCCCGGAGAGTGGAAGGTCGCGGGTTCGATCCCCGACCGCGTCATACCAAAAAGACGTTAAAATATGGTACTTGTTGGTCCCTACCTGGCGCTCAGCATTAATGGGTACGACAAGGACTGGTCGGGCTCGGAGTCGGTATAATGTGTCTGAGTGGGGTATTCATGCTTCACTGCGGCATGGTATCTCAGTGGGCTAGCACTATAAAACCAGCTTCAGTTTGGGCTAGTACAAGCAGCCGCACATACACATACACACGCATGCACGTCGTCATATGAGTGAAATATTCTCAAGCACAACGTTAAACCCAATTTCACCTCACCTCACCTTGTCTAGTTACCTATTCGTTAAAGTTTTTATCAACATTGGAACTAGGTTCGTTATCTCCTTCATGCTGTTTGACATGACAATCTGTTGTGCATGGTTTTAGAAATCACGCTGGTACTTTTGTCGATGTTTCATAGTTGCGAAAAGACAAATGTGATTGTGGGACTGTTTTATGTATGCTTGTTGTCCCTGAACATATATGTATCTTACATTCTAATGCCTACATCTTTTAAATGTCAAGGTGAGGGTCAAGGTCAGTGAAGTTTATTGTTTGTGTGGTAAATCTAATTCCAGATCTCCTTTGCCAAAACCTTTCACCATAGCGAAGATGATATATTGGAGTAAGGTAATATTAAGTTCTCAGAAAATATTTTTGCAGACATATGTGTATTTTGTGTAAAAGCAGGTAAAACATGCTTGCTTTGTTGATGGGAATGGAATGATGGTGAGTAATATATACCTAGGAAGACCTCTTTAACCCAGAATTACCTCCCTTGCTTTATTTATCGTATGTAGTGTTTTGCGTTTGTTTTAGTCAAGAGATTGTTATACAGCTTTCTGTGAAGCTCTTTTGTGCCATGTAATGAATTTTGTGTTAAACGACCGGTACTCAAAAGAAGTTTAGGGCCCTGATATTTTTGTTCACTTTATTATGAAAGAATCAGGTGCTCCCTAACTTTATGTGAGTAGTATAAGAGTGATGAGTGAAGCTATTTGGTCAAACTGTTTTCTAAAGGACCGTTCAGAATTTAACGCTAGGGGGTGATAATGATTTTAAGGAGGGGTCACCCATGTTTTTTCTGGGGAGGTGATGGTGGGGTAATTAATTTTGTACAAGAGTACTTTGGGGGGAATTTTGCTTGAAGTTATGGGAAAGAGTAGGGGTAATTGATTTTGTACATGATGGGGAGGGGGTGGGGGATGGACGCTCTAACCACTACACCACGGAGGCAGTCGTGTGCCCAACAGTGTGGATGGTTGTTCACAATAGTCATCACTGGATTATCTGGTCCAGACTTGATCATTTACAGCCTTCAACAATAAAGAAAGAATTAATGATTGGTTTGGTTTGTTGTTCAATGCCCCACTCAGCAATATTCCAGCTATATGGCGGCGGCCTGTAAATAATCGAATCTGGACCAGACAATCCAGTGATCAACAGCATGAGCATCAATCTGCGCAGTTGGGATACGATGACATGTGTCAACCAGGTCAGCGAGTCTGACCACCCGATCCCGTTAGTCGCCTCTTACAACAAGCATGGGTTGCTGGAGACCAATTCTAACCTGGATCTAACAAAGAAATAATGGGGATTAGGTGGCTGTAAAGTGAGTATGTGTCATGGTGACCCAATGTTGGCATGGATACTTGCTCATGCCATCAACCACTGGTTTGCCAGGCCTGGACTTGATTAATTATGTATCATTGTGGTATGGTCATTGTTGACCAACTGTCCCTGTTCAGATCACTGTCTACATATTGGGTACAGGGAGATGATCTTTCACTAAACTCGGCTGACAGTGACGGTTACACTTTTATACACCCGAGCTGTTCTGCATTATGGAGAACGAGAATTTTGTGTTTGTTCTTGAGATTATTTTACTTTGTGTATGCTTGTATCAAGTATGTTATTCTTCAGATTCAATATGTAAATGAAAAGTATGGCCAAAATATTTTGAATATTTTCTGCTGTATTTCTCAGAACATGCCTTCACTGTACACTTATTTGATTTATTTTGAATTCAGTGTATTTGTGATTTTAGTTTTGTTTATTTTGATAATATGATGAGTAGTAAGGAATATTGCTGAGTGTGGTGTTAAACAAAAAACCCACACATTTGAGTCACATCAGATCAGGTGAGGTAGTGACTATTAGCATTATTTTATGTTTAAATTGCATTTTAGCTCTTAAGACCTTAAAACCAACTGAAAAAATAATAATTCATGTACAAAAATGTCTTAAAATGCAGTACTGGAAATTCAGAAAACATCAAATGTCAGTGGAAATTATGTAGAATCATTCTGGTGTTAAATCCATGTGTTTTGAGCGATGAACCTGGATTTTTGTGGGTTACATATTATTAGGTTTTATTATCATATCCATAACCTGTACTTTATACATGTTTTGTTTAACCTGGTGAATGTATGCTCGTCCTTTTGGCTTCATACCACTGAATGACCTACCATGTTCAGCTGTTACACATTTTTTGTTACATCTTTGTTACGTCTCGGTGAACTATGTGTCATAATGAATCTCATTCAGGAAGAAACCTGTCTCTATAAAGCAATCCAAGTACCTTTTAAATATCTTAGTAACCTAGGCCGTGTTGTACAAAGCTACCTTAGCGCTAAGGTGGTCGTAACTCCCATACATTAAAATAGGCTTACGATTGTCAGAGTGTTGACAATGCTCTGTTGAAGGGGGCCCTGTTACCTAAACTATCTCAGGGGTGGAAATAACTTTAAAATTGCTAGTGTACTCCGGTACAGTGGCACATGTAAAATCCCTTGCCCTGATAATTTGTCCACTATTCCGGCCGTTTTCTTGTTGATTTTTTAAAATAAACAACATAATTAACATTGGAAAGTCAACTGGACACCGGTACAGTGTGATATACAAATTTGCCTGCCCGACAGAATAAAACACTGGATTTGGACGTCGGGCAATGGGTTATTTCCACCCCTGTATCTTAGCGCTGAGGTAATCGTAACTACTATTCTTTAGTATTGACTAAGATCATCGCTAAGACCACTTTATGCAGCATGGCTCTAGACTGCTAAGACAGTATTATGACAATTGACATGAGATATTTCAACAATGGTTTTATTACTAAAATTGCTTCCTAATGGTTGTATCGCTAAGATGTAGTCGTAATGGTTGTATCGCTAAGATGTAGTCGTAATGGTTGTATCGCTAAGATGTAGTCGGAATGGTTGTATCGCTAAGATGTAGTCGGAATGGTTGTATCGCTAAGATGTAGTCGGAATGGTTGTATCGCTAAGATGTAGTCGTAATGGTTGTATCGCTAAGATGTAGTCGTAATGGTTGTAGTGGTAAGACAACGTTAACAATGGTTTAGATAACCTTATAATAACGATTGCATTGCAACGGTTCTATCGCTGAGATAGTCTTTTTGACAGTTGAAGCTAAGAATCTAAGATGTCATCACAGTGGTTGAAATGCTAAGATGGTGCCATGGTAATGACCCCTATAATATATACTGCTCCACTTTTAATAGATATATGTGAACTTTTTGGCGACACACAAACCTGATTCTCACGAGTGTATTTGAATAGAATTTAACATCAAATTATTCCCAATGAAAAGTTGAGTAGTATAATTCTTCAATGTGTTTCAGTGCAAGATGCTGTTTCCTTAAAACCACATAAAGTCTTTCTTGTCGTGATATGTTATATGATTTTCGTAAATTTTTGTGTGTGTCCCTGGTAGAATGTTATGGACTGGTCATAAATGTTAATGCAGGGAATGATGGGCGAGTTTAGAAGAAAACCACACTTTTCTTCCTTATATTAAATTATTCTTTTATACATTTGAGCATTATTCAGAGACTGGGCATATTTTACATGGAGGGGCTATGATCAAATGTTACAGGAATTGGGGGCATTAAAAATGGTAATTTATTTTTTTTTGAAATATTAAAAAATGGTACCTATTTTTGGACTTTTTTGTTTAAAGGTGAGATAATTGACATCTCCATTCATGACAGTGTGTCCACACACCCTCTGTCATTTACGTTATTACATGCTGCATTTCATATTTTGCATTTGGTTCATGTTGTGTGTACAAGAGTGCAGTTTGCTTGTGTATAAATACATAAATTGTACATTACTATCTTTATACAAGTGTATATGACTGTTAGTATTATGTTGAACAAAATCCTTCTCTTATTTCTATGAACAATATTTGTGCTTCATTTTACAAAACCGTTATAATTCCTTCACAAGAAACCACAACTTTAACATGCAGGGGGAGGGTTAGCCTAGTTGTTAAAGCGTCCGCTCGTCACGCTGAAGACCCGGGTTCGAATCCCCACATGGGTACAATGTGTGAAGCCCATTTCTGGTGTCCCCCGCCGTGATGTTGCTGGAATATTGCTAAAAGCGGCGTAAAACTAAACTCAGTCTAAAAGTCATAGATGTATCTTTGGTATGGGTGGCCACATGGGTAAAGCAGTAGCTTGTACCAAACAATCCAGTTCTGTTCCCCATGTTGGTACAATATGCAAATCCAATATTTGTTGTCACAGATTATTTGCTGGACTGTTGCAAAACATTCTCACTCCATGGATGGAATACATTGTATGTACTTTAAAGAAAAGAACACTGAAATCGTTCAGTCTTTGAAAGTTAATTCTTTTCAAACCATATCTTCACCTGCAGACAAATAAGAAAACAATTCTTTGTTTGTGGCCTTATCACTTGTTAATATTATCTATGTTAGCCTGAATTTCTGGTGCTAAGCTTAATGCTCAAAGAAAATATTGCCTGTTCCCAGTGTATGAAATAAGGCCCGTCCGACCGCCCGAGACAGGCTTGTTTTCTGACGGACGGTCTAAATTTACAGCTAGCCAGCCTGATGGTCTGGTAAAATTTTAGATGTTCCATACATCTGTGTAAATTCACCATATTTGGTCTGGTTAAATCCATTTTGGGCTGTAACATTTTGAAGTTACCAGCCCTGATGTTTGGCTGGATTTTTTGGCTTATTTCATACACTGCTGTTACTTGTTCATTTGACACAGGTCGAGATTCTATTAACTTTTTATCATGTATAATTTACTCGAACAAGTATTGTCATAATAGGGGAGGCGGAGGGGTAGCCTAGTGGTTAAAGCGTTAGCTCGTCACGCCGAAGACCCGGGTTCGATTCCCCACATGGGCACAATGTGTTAAGCCCATTTCTGTTGTCCCCCGCCGTGATATTGCTGGAATATTGCTAAAAGCGGCATAAAACTAAACTCAGTCAGTCAGTCAGTCATAATAGGTAATATTTATGTCTCCAGTGGTGAGAACATAATGGTTTACATTGTCATGCTTTTTAAATGTAACACGGTTAATGAATTTGATGTCACCAGCTGATTCTGTAAGTGCAGAGATGTTATTTAAGCATTTTCTGTTACATCGTTCTTATTTCCGGAATCTGACATTCTTCCTTGACCATGTGAGGATGGATTAAATGTATTTACTGTGTATTGGTGTTTGTTGTGCAACCCTGCAGATATGCCAACCCTGAATCTAAGAAAAATGGAGTCATGACTGGCTGAAAGCCAGGCCTGAGCACCAAAGGTGCGAGTTGGGGGTGAGCGTGTGGTCGGCTCTGCCATTTTGTTTAATTTTTATACGGACGATGACATGGATTCGGAAAAACTTTGTGAAACTTCGTCAATAAACACCCAATATACACAATCGACACCCAAAGGATCATACGCTAAGCTTCTGAACCCTTTTACCAGTGTGCACTCAAATAAATCATCAGTTACTTATGAAATTGTATACCGTCAAAATAAATTCAGAATTTTTTCTCAAAAAACAGTTTTTTAAAAAGAAATCGGAGAGCAGATTTTGTTTTTGAAAATCGGAGTGGTTGGCATCTCTGACCCTGTTGGAATCCAGAGTAGACTGTGTCCCAGCACCTTTTTGTAAGGTGTGAGAGGTGACTGACTTGGGAACCTGTGAGGATTCAGGTTTGAATTGGTCCACAGAAACCTGTGCTGATCATAAGAGGCAGCTTTGTTTGACTTGGATCTGGCTTTTGGTGACATTGTCTTGTCCAGAAACAATTATTTTCAGGCTCTGTTGCGTGAAGGCTGGTCATTGTACCTCAATGATGTGGAGATCTGTGAAGATCCGGGTTAGAATTGATCTTCAGTAACCCATACTTGTAAGAGATGACCAACAGGATCAGGTGGTCAGGCTCACCGACTTGGTTGACACATGTCATCATATCCCAATCGTGTAGATCGATGTGCATGCTGTTGATCATGGGATTGTCTGGTCCAGACTCTATTATTTACAGACAGTGGCCATGTAGTTGGAATATTGCTGAGTGTGGCGTAAAACTAAACTCACTCACATAATGATGTGGATTGGTGCTCATGATATCCATCATCAGATTGTCTGATCTAGATTGAAATATTAACAGGCTGCCATCATATAGCTGGAATATAGCTTACCGAAGTGAAGCATTAAAACACAAACACAACTTCACAGACAACCAGGAGAGTATGAATACAGTGTTTATTATCATATAGCCTACAGTAACGTTAAGAAACTACTGTCTGTAACACAGAAACTAAGACAGAGAGTAAGATGACATCACAGGTGAAGAAACGGTCAATACACGTAACAAGTAACCAACAATGGTGGACAGGAAGATCTCCCAGTCCAAGAACAGTCAACACTATAGAACACTACCTGTCATAAGCATGTGGTTTTAATTTAATTTAATTTAAGGGTTCCTTGGGGAAAGTATATTAGGGTAACGATAAGTAATTACTATGGTATTGGTAGAACACGTGGGGTTTTCTTAAATTTAATTTTTATTTAGGCCAGACCAATTTTATTTCTTGTTTACGGATATTTGTCCTCATAAAACCTAAAGGCAGGAGGGGAAAAAAAACAAAAAAACCCACAGAGTTTCCATGTTCACTCTTTTGGTTTGTCTATATCAACCAAAAATAAGTTGAATGAGGTTAGGTTTCACACTGATTTCAAGAGTATTTCACTTTCATCACATTAACATTAGGATTTTATTTTTGGAGCAGGGAAAATCAATTATTTTGTTTTTCTTATTCTTGAAAGAATATGACAAGCGGATCTGTAAAACAAGAAATAAAATTGGTCTGGCCTTAAGGATCATAAATAAATAGTACTGGTGTTGAAAATAAAGCAGTTCTTGAGGTTTTGTCAAGAAGCATGATTATAGAAAGTACAGGTAAGCATTCCAGGAGTATATTTTCTGTATCTGAAGAAATGTAAACAAAATCGGTATCATGAAATAATACTTTCTGTTAGGAGTGTAGGTAATTGTATCCCTATACAGAACTGTTATTATGAATAAAGTACTTTGGATGAAAACAACATTTCTTACTTCAGAGATAAACAGGTCTACAGACTGCAAAACAAAGGGAAATTTGTTATAACATTTAATTAACATTTTTCTTTCACACCTAAAGATTATAAAGTAACAACTGTCAGTCTAGCCTAAACTGATTTCAAATTCTTTGAATGGATAACATCAAATTGATTTTCTAAAGGCAGACATATAAAAAAGTTTCATTTCACAGGCACAGTTCATAATATAGGAATGTTTTCAGAGGCCATTGCTCCAGGTATTAATGAGTATCTAATAATACATTCTTCCAAACATTCAGTTAAAAATGAAAGACAAAAACAGCCATTTGCAGAAAAAAAATGTTGTAAAACTCAAAAAGAAGTGAAACATTACCAGTTCTTTCATATTCTGTCAGCCAGAAATTTGAATTAATTTTAGCTGTGACAGATATAGGAAAGAATTGGGTGGTCTTTTACTCTTTTGAGTCGAATATGTTAAGCTTTATACCATCATAAAGCATTCAGTAATCGTAATGCAGAATTTCTGCACGGAACAGCCATTTGGTACAGCATTGACTGAATTAGTCTGAAATGACTATGTATCGTGACAAGTTTGATAAATATATCACAGTGTCCTGTTTCGGAGGCAAAACATGGATGTGCTTTCTCATATTGATATAAGAGCACTTAGTTGTCATCACACGGACTCCACGTCATAAACCCAACACTATACCTATAGCCATTACTTTGTTCACAGTACAATATTATCACAATAGACAATTATGGAGTCAAAATGGGTAAATGATTTTTCATTTGGGTTTTATTAGGGGCACTTGTACAGGTTACAGGTTGGTCAAGGGTACTACTGACAAGCCCAAGAGATCCCTATTCATGATAAATATGAATCACAAACAAGCCAAGAATCAAACAGTTTCATACACAGAGCACATATATTCAAACAATTTGAAATCAATACAGAATGAAGAGTAGCGTATTTGACTTGCAACTGAACCCTAATGCAACATTGTTGCCTAGCCTATAACATTCATTGAAAAACAAAATTGTTTTTATGTTCTAAAACAACATACTACAATAGCATCTTGCCGTTACCATCGGAGATGCAGTATTCATCTTTATGCATCAAGTGTCCTGTCAAATTACCTTTGATTAAAAATGTGGCTCGTGTAGTATAAGTTTAAGTAGGAGAGAGAACTTGAGACTGTGTACTAGCCAGGTTCCACAATCTGATCTGAGACTAAGACAATCAGTACTTTTAAAATTTAACACTGAAAGCCGCACGTAACTTGCAGAAAAGGGACCGAATATGCATTCATGCAGAACTTGGAGATGTAGATGCTAAAAATATACTCACAACAAAATGCTTCGTCTCCTTTGTCATTTCTTGAATTATGTGATTTGAATTTCCCACAAACATGCATTAACACTTTCTAAACGTATTCTGGCCACAATACAACAGGCACTTAAACCTCATGTACAAAAACTATAAACAAAATATCTACATAAGAGCAACAGTAAGCAGAGCCAAGACTTTTACTTCTCCAGTCAGGAACACTGTCTTGTGGTGTAGTTATACCAGTCTAAGTAAACTTAGGTTCAGCTGACCCGACCTTCTACAAGGGTTTGTTAGACTCAGTATAGCAGTGTAAGGAATAATACTGAGCCTAAGTTTACTTAGGCTGGCGTTATACTGGTTTATCAAAGTACAGCTCCCTCTGAAATTGTTCATGCTAACAAAGATCTTGATAAACAAAGTTTCAGCCAACAGAGAAAGCCCCCTTAAAATATGTTCAGGAAGGGAATTCCTTTGACTAAAATTGAACAGTCCTACAGGTATTATTTTGCCTTGTACGTTGGACGTTGTGTCCACATTTTTGGAGGTAGAACATTTCAGTGCTGAAGAAAGAGAGGAGATAGTCATGGTTTTAACTCGGGAACAAAAATAGATACTTCTCTTCCTTGAAGGAGATTGTCATTGCTAATTGGGATCGGTACACTTCACTGTCTCTTTGTTGCATCAACAGGAACTCTCAGGCTACATTACTGTTACACAACAGACAACTGGATTGTCATTCATCACAACTTCTAGTCGGAGTGCAAAGACTTCACAGCTTCTAAGAGTTAAGAGTGCGAAGAAACTATTGGGTTCTATTAGATCAACTTGAATCATCTCTACTAGAGCTCCCATGCTGAATAGACAGTCTGTGACCATCCATTGCAAAGAATAGTGCCCTTGTTCAGAATCTATTGGGTACTATAAGATGAACTTGAACCATACCTACTGGAGTTTTCGCAGTGTGTAAACATCCTCTTCCAATAAGTGTTTTTGCATAAGAATTATAGGGTATAGGGTGAGTTTGACACTACAACAGTGTCCCTACGCAGATCCACTAAACTGCAAGTCCCCATATTGCTGAAGTCATTAAACATGAACTCTCTCTTACTTTGACTTGGCCCTAATTCCAATTAACCTAGCATCCATACACTTTAACATAGTCTTTCAAAAGTCATAGCACTACCATCCCTTATGGAACAGTCCTATCCATTGTTATCTTCAATCATACCTGGAGTCCCAGGTACTTATACTCAAATGCATAAACAGACCCACAAATATTCACACTGATCATACTAACGTGAAGAAGCTGTTTGAAATGCTGGTTATCTTCCTGAATGTTTCCTACAAATACAGAAACGATTTGCAATATACTCCGACACTGCTTATTCAAAACAGAAACCTACATGCACTTTACATTCACAGACATATGCATGCTAACAATATTGACACCATAAAATTTTCACCATCAGAATGAACCAGGCAAAATCTGACAGGGATTATAACATTGACTTGTGACTTGACAGGACATACTAGAACACAGTAACTGCACTGTTGTTTCAGCTGTAATTGAGAATTACACACCGAGCTATTACATCTAAATATTTTGTGCAAGACATAAGAATAATTTTTAGTCTGATTGTCTGAAATTAACAGCAGTCATGGGATAATTGGGGTTGTCTCCATAGTATTTCAACCTAAGGAACCTTAACCCTTTAACTTGTAACGTCAGTCTTGTCAAGGATCCCCAACAGTGACACTGTTAGTGATTCCAAAACACAGTAAAATAAAGGTTTAAAAATATCAACATCTATTTGAAGTTAGAAAAAGCCAAAATCAGGTGCCACAAATCATGATCACTTTAGCTCCTATGTTGCTAAGTTTACAAATTACATTATCAAATATTATCTGTGACATGGTGGGAGTACAGACATACTCTAATACAACACTACATGTACTCGATCAGGACGGAGGAGAATTATCATCATCATTGATACAAAAATTCAAATTACTATCACTAATCTACATCTAATGTACATAGACGGGTCGAGAACCTGTGGTACATGTTAGCGTATAACTGTTATAACAAACATGGGACGTTATACATCATATTGTACCAACTATGATATAACATTCTGCTGCTGTCGTATAGACTCGGAGCACCAATGTTGGTGCATAAAAACTAATATCATTCTTTCAATATGGAAGTCAAGGACCTTCAAAGCATGAACAAATATTTCAGGCAAATCTAAGGCACAAACAACAATTATAATGGAGAAACAGTATTAAAGACATCTCATATCCTTGGAGTTCATACAATTGAATAATTGTCCTACAAAATGCTTGACGAGAATTATTATGCTTCAGCCTGTTGACTTAAAGAAATAATTCACCACAAAAATTACAATGTTGCAAGATGTATTTCACTGAAAAAATATTTTGGTTCATAATTTCTTTTAAAATATCTTGTTTTACAGCTATAGCTGAATATTTTTGTATAAAACAACCCTCGCTTTTCCAAGTATCAAATTATTCGTCCTTTAGTTGGTTCCAAGATGTCTGTGAACATATCTTTGTCACGTCGTTTCTACATACCGGTAGTTATCTGATTTTCAACAAAGGATACAGAATTCAGCCAAAGTGGCAAACACAAGGAGATAGCTTTGGTCTGTACAAACATAGTTGATTCCAAGTAAAGCAAAATATGAAAAGATTTTTCTCTAAATAAGCAGCTACTGATGAAGGCTTGATGAGAATTTTCTTTAATTTTGATGTCACAATGTATGTTTTCTTTAATATCGTTAATAACAAACTAGGGCGTTATTTCACCACAAGACATACCCTGAGACTTGTGGAAGCTGTTGAGGTGTGGGTTTTACCAATATCAACAAGCTTTCATCCGTACTGTGGTCACCAGTAGTGGAACTCTTAACTTAGATTTTTAGTAAAAATTTGAAATTTGGTATCAGAACCATGTATGCAGACACACACATATAAAATATGTACCTGTCATTAAATCCTTGAAACTGTTTCTATTTTGCTTCAGTGTAGGTAAATGTCAAAGATGCCTTATTGCTCTAAATATTTCACATATACAATTTACCGGAGATGCTTTTGGAAACAAAAGGGTGTCTATTTCAACATGTAACATTCCCCTATTTCATGTTTATGTACTACTATTAATAACATACATAGATTTCCCAAAGCTCCTCACAGCAGTCATTTCTTCCCAGAATGTCATGAAGTGCAATAGAGTGCATGTTATTGGCTGTCATAGCACTGCGGAGAGCAGCTGGTGTGTTTACATCAATATCATCTACAGTGTTTGAAATCAGGGGATGTCTTAGAATTATGGCTGCAGACTTAACACTATTCACACTTGTTAATATTAGACACTGATATGAAATGAGACTCTTTTTTGTATGTGGAAAAGCACCTGTTAGCACCCTTCACTAGAGGACTAATGCCATTAATCCCCAGAATGCCGTTTTACAAAACAGCCTTAGCTAAGACTATAGCAAGTCTATGATAAGGTATGGGAATTACGGTCAACTTAGCTGTAAGATTGCTTCATATTAACGGCACCCTGGGCCACATTTCAAATATTTAGCTGTGGCCCTGGTACAATAACATAATCAGTGGGCCATCTTTAAAGCTTTTTGCTTTGCATATTCCACATTTGGTTTACCAGTACATCTGTATATTCTTTATGAAAGAAAACAGACAAGATTCATCATTTCTGGTAGTATGGTTGAAAAAGTGCCAACAATATTCTTAAGTGTTATGGATTTTCAGCTTAGTATGCTCAACGTGTAAGACAAACAGATTAGCTCTGAATCCATCAGAAGAAATCGTAACTTTTGTTGATCCATAATCATTGACTGCAGAGGCAAGACATAGGCTTACTGTACATTCTAATCCCCTTGCTCTAGACATTAGATCTCTGTATCAGGGCCCAGAATTATTATCAAGACATAATAGAAGACTAATCTGGGAATGTTTTGCATATGTTCATAACTGAAAAGACTGATGCTGTTCTTAAATCAAATCACTAATCTGACACACTTGGGAAGGATATGAGATTATTCTTTGTGGTAATTGCCTTATGGTGCACCTGACCTGTGTTGAACTAATATCTACTTACATTTAGATTCATTCAGGATATCATTCCGCACCATATGATTAAACCAGTGTTCAAAATTGAGGGGTTGTCAGGGATTGACATCTGCTTCAAAAGTATCAGAATCTGACTCTTACAGTTTTCAATTTTCGGGTTATGATAAGGATCCCTGCTTTCAGCCCTAATTTCGAACACTGTAAGAGCTAATTGAGTCACAGTATCATCAAATGAAGCCAGGTCTATATGCAGGGCCTAGCTAGGATGAGTCTGTGTGAGGAGAAACGTTGATGTTTGCAAGGTGTTGATATGGATTTGTCTTTCACCAGCTGGCTTGTAGTTTCTCAGCAGTTCTCTGTATGAAGTCTCGATGGCTGGCGTACAGCTGTAACGAATGATCCACATCCATCCACTGTACCCCTACAGCATCATCACCTGCAACAGCAACAGCATCACACTGCAACATCGACACCAACACTTGACTAAACTCAGCTGGTCAGTCCCACAGGTTAGGTATGTCCCCATATCCAAATCGTAGACTTCATGCCAATCACTTGATTGTCTGGACCAGATTCAGTTATTTATAGACCAATGACAAACAGCTTGATAACTGCTATGTGCAGCTTTAAACAATAAACAAGGAACTGTTTGATTGGCATTTTAGAAGTTGATGAATAATAAGAAAAGTATAATACTTTATGGATAACAACTTCTTTATTTATTATGATGCTAATAATATCATAATACATAAAGAAGTTGTTATCCATAAAGTATTCTACTTTTCCTAATAAACATAGAAAACAACATATATTGACATGTAAGAGAAAGGGAGGTAACTCAAAACTGACAAATTTACTTCAAGGAAATGGCTCTTCAATACCCACTCATGAATGGGAATGAGAAAATGGACACCTCTCAAGTCAGTTGTCCTACCTGCATTGAGTTTAAATCTAGCAACATTTTCTCCTCTTTCGTCATGTAAATTCACTGCTATTGTCTCCATCCATGAATTGTCTGTGTTCCGAGGATCATCAACATAGCCTCTGTAAATCTGAAAAGTAGAGAAAATAGCTAACATACACTTTCATCACAAAAATCAGCTTCACAGTCTTCACCTGGGATTCAAACCCAGGTTTGATGAACATACAATTTAACCATTATACCACGCAACCCATACTCGCAGAGTTTAACAACCTTCCAGCTAACTAATGTTAAGGCAATCTCATCAAAATCAGATCTTTCATTCCAACTGGATGTCTTTATGTAAAAGTCTGAGGACACCTCTCCAGGAGGTCTTGTCAGTTTAACTTTCTTAATATGGAGGCTTCTAAATTCTCAGTACAACTGTGAAAAGCATTCAGGAATGATTATCTGATTTTTGTTTGTTGTTTAATGCGGCACTCAGCAATGCTCCAGCTTTATGGCGGCAGTTTGTAAAATAATCGAGACTGGACCAGACAGTTAATGCAATTGGGATATGCTCACATGTGTTAACCAAGTCAACAAGCCTGACTTCTCAATGCCGTTAGTCGCCTCTTATAACAATAAAGGGTTGAAGAAGACCAATTCTAACCCGGATCTTCACAGGTTCTGATTTACAGGCCTCAAAAATAAATATGATCATAGGTTCATAATGCAGTATAATACAGTCATGCTGTTATACTGAAGGGGACATGTTTTACATGCTATTGCTTCTGAGCACCATGGCGCCTACATCCTAAATGTGTTCTACCAAGACTATATTTGTGTTCCACTTTCTTACCTCTGATCCACCTTGGTCAAATAAATCACTTATTGACTGCCTAATTTGCTTCTTCTCATCATCTGTTGCCATGAGTGAGTTCAACGCCTCCTCTCCGAACTCTCTTTTCAGTGTGACAGATACCACCTCCCCTGCATCAACCATACCCTGCAACCAAACAATGGAACAGATATGTTTTAACACAAATGTTCAAACACTTAAATTTCCATGTGTCATTTCTCATGATAATGAATAAGCTTCCTCTCACACATCGTTGTACATCTGAGCCAATAGCTTTAGGCCGCGTTGACAAAGGTACGTTTTGGAAGCTAAGGAGAATGACGATTACTCTTTCTTGGTCCTTCAAATATTTTCTACAAATATCATATTTTTTCTCTGACTTGGAATTGGCTTAATGTAGCTTGTAAAACACATTTTCAACAAAATCACAAGTTTTTGTTCTTTAAGGTAGCTTGCATGCAGATCAACAATGTGTCAGTACATCTTCTTATTCAGCTGTTAAGCAAGACTATACTGAAACATTGTTATAGTAGTAATTAAATGAAGTTGTCATCCATAAACATCCATTCCTAGAAGGCCAACAAGCAAAGTGTGGCCTCAATGACTGAGTGAGTGAGTGAGTTTAGTTTTACGCCGAACTCAGCAGTATTCCAGCTATATGGCGGCAGTCTGTAAATAATCGAGTCTGGACCAGACAATCCAGTGATCAACAGCATGAGCATTGATCGGAGCAATTGGGAACCGATGACATGTGTCAACCAAGTCAGTGAACCTGACCACCCGATCCTGTTAGTCGACTCCTACGACAAGCATGGGTTACTGAAGGTCATTCTAACCTGGACCTCAATGAAAACAAGCATAGTGTCAATTTACTGCCACATTAAGCACGTTTTTCTTTGTATCTTGTCTTATAACCTACCCCTGGCAGCGCCCATTCCTTATTGTCCTGTCTCTGTACTGCTATAAACTGAAGAATGGGACTCCTGATTTGGCTTTAACTACTTCTCCTGTTGTATTCCGCTTCCATCTGAAAGAGAGACATGTCTGTAATAAGCCAAGTAAGTTAAACAAACCCCAGATTAGATCACCCTTGTAACAGAAATACTTCAGTTGGGTGCAGATTCTGATTCATGATGAGGATTTGAATTGTTTTTGATACTGCTTAACACCTCAGATATGAGGTATTCAGACCAGATCATATTGTAACCTGCAACAAGATTACAGCTGATAGTTGGAAATACATGGACTGTTTAAGAACATAGCCGTCATGTTCAACAATCACATGCATCAACCAACAAGAAAAGGTTGCTGAAGACCAATTTTAACGTGGATCTTCATGATGAAGCACATGCTCATTAGGTCAAAAGTCAAGCCTGAAATAGAGGGGAGCTAACTGCATGTATTACCGTGTAACTATTGGATCTCCAGCATGATTAGGTCCCCATCTTCCAAGACAGCCCCGCCCACGGAGACCAGTGCGGCCCACGGGATTCCTGCATGACAAATAATTATTATACACAGGGCAGCCTGAACCGCATTACTAACTTAGTAAATGTTTAAGATTTTTCAGATTTTCAAATTCAGATGTATACAAGTTTACATTAACTAAACTGATGATACACACAGAGTTACATCTGTGCCCAAAACCTAGGTCAATCTTATCAGACCTGAATATTGTCCTATATGCAAAACTTCTTTCATCATACTATAGTTAATCCATCATGGCTGCAGGGTATTTCTTCCAATTGTTTGCTTCTCTTAACCAGATTCTGGTAGTTAGTTAGGATCTGAACAACTAATTTAACTTGTCAGTCACTCACCTTGGAACTTTGTCTATAACGTCGTAATTTCCTAAATGGCTTCTTCTGTTTATTACTCCATCTACACTGTTCCACTTGGGCTGACGTATAACAGCATCTGCGTGTCTGAAACAACGAGTGAGTGAGTGAGTTGGGTTTTATGCTGTTTTCATTGACATTCCAACAACATCACAGTAATGGGTTTCAGACATTGTACTTATGAGAGGAATGAAACCTGACCTTTGGTGTGACGAGCAAACACTTCAACCACTAGGCTACCAACAACTGGAAATGCATAAACGGCACTTTATTTTTTTTGTTAGTTGTTTAACGCCGCACTCAGCAATATTCCAGCTATATGGCGGTGGTGTGTACATAATCGAGGCTGGACCAGACAATCCAGTGATCAACAGCTTGAGCATTGATCTATGCAATTGGGATATGATGACATGTGTCAACCAAGTCAGCGAGCCTGACCACCCAATCTGTTAATCGCCTCTTACGACAAGCATTGGTTGCTAAAGACCAATTCTAACCTGGGTCGTCACATGTTAAACGCTGCAAACTTAAAGGATTTTAGTTTTAGTTTGTTTTGACAATAGTTTGAGTTAAAAATAAAAAACCAGTTGTTGCATTCGTCAGATCATTCTTAGCGTGTTTGTTACGAATGCATCTTACTACAATATAATACATGAATATTTGAATCAACATACTAAAGACATAAGTAATTTGAATAAACTACTACACATTGCTAATTTGGACAGTGTACTCACCTTACATCAGGATCTGCCCAAACTGGTTTCTCCAAAACTTTGGGAGAAGTGTAGTCGACAGGTTCATATATAGAATACTCGGCACTCCACGGCACCTTGTCATCTGGCACTGGGAAGCGTTTCACGTCCTTTGTCCGTGGATATGTCTCAATACGAGCTTTATAGTGAATACTCATGGTTAGGATCCTTATAGTTTGCCGAGAGGCACCGCCCCCTAGAAACCCAGTTAGCTGAAAAATAAGAATTATTGTTATATTTATCATAACTAGGATGGAAAAAGTTTCTTTTTCTTTCCTATCTGATCAGCTGTTATAGCCAGGGCACATGCCTCCTATTAAACATTATCTAAATTTTGTCTTAATTTCTTTCCCTGCAATCTTATTTGTGATAATATTTAAAGAAATGAGGACAATATATTTGAAGTGTACCAATGGCAGATTTATCAGGGCAGAGACCTCTTCTTCACCAACATAATAAAAATGACATCACCTTTAATTGTTTTTTAAAACAACCACCACCTCTCACTATCACACAAAACCAACTCCTCTCCTCATCTTACAAAACATCTATTAACTCTCATAGTTTTCGAGAACAACCAATAACTCTGACCATAACAAATAAAACCAAAACACCTCTCACCATTATACAAAACCAACAACTCTCCCGATCTCACAAAACAACCAACACCTCTCACCATTATACAAAACCAACAACTCTCCCGATCTCACAAAACAACCAACACCTCTCACCATTATACAAAACAACCAACTCTCCCGATCTCACAAAACAACCAACACCTCTCGCCATTATATACAAAACCAACAACTCTCCCGATCTCACAAAACAACCAACACCTCTCACCATTATACAAAACCAACAACTCTCCCGATCTCACAAAACAACCAACACCTCTCAACCAACACCTCTCACCATTATACAAAACCAACAACTCTCAAAACAACGATCTCACAAAACAACCAACACCTCTCACTATTATACAAAACAACCAACACCTCTCACAACACCTCTCACTATTATACAAAAAACAACAACTCTCCCGATCTCACAAAACAACCAATACCTCTCACACCATTATACCATTATACAAAACCAAAACAACCAACACAACACCTCTCACCATTATACCAACATACAAAACAACCAACACCTCTCACCATTATACAAAACCAACAACTCTCCTGATTTCACAAAACAACCAACACCTCTCACTATTTTACAGAACAATCATTAACCCTCCATTCTTACACAACAACCAACACCTCTTGTAAAAAAGTTCTTATAAAACAGTTCCCCATTCAACTATCTGTAACTATATGGTATATCTAGACAAAAATGGTGATACAACATTATTCTTCACTTCATTCACTCACTGTGACCTTCTGGTGACCTTGACCTGATATTTGCATCAGGAAACTAAAATTATTCCAATCAGAAACCCCATCCTAAAGACGATGTATGTCAGTGAATGTTGTATTATGTCTAAATCAGCAATATTTCAGCAATACTAGCAGGGCCAGCAATAAAATAAACCTGGGCCAAACACATGCTGCTGTTTACGGTGCAGGGCCCCGTTCCTCAAAGCGATCGTAGCGCTACGACGGTCGTAAGTCTATGTTAAAGTATGGGAGTTACGACTGTCGTAGCGCTACGATTGCTTTGAGGAACGGCACCCAGTTGACCACCATGTTGTGATTTAATGAATATTTTGCAACATTTACAAAATCATGCAGAAACTGTAATAGATTTTCAACAACCATGACATGAAGTATTCATAGCAAAGGGAATGTACCAAAAACCATGCAATCACAATTTTGAGAGTTGAGCCAACTGGAAACTTCAACATGCATGCAGTATAGTGTCGCCATCCCTGTGTCTGTCAAAAGGCTAACATTAGCAGCACCTCATGTCAAGTGAGTTCAGTTTAACAAAGCTCCGAGTAGTACTTCAGCTGTATCACATCATGTCTGCTTATTTAGAAAACAAAACAAGAAGTGACGCTAGGGACTTACAGGGATTGGGATAGAGAACTTTGAAAAAGGGCCATTTTCAGGATTATTAGCCATTTTCTGAATTTAGAATAGGCCCAAACCCTTGTATCAATGGTAAACTTCAACATTTTAATGGGCCATTTTTTATTCTAATGTGCAAATGGCCAATGGCCCATGCCTTTCCCAATATGTAAATAATTAGAGAAATCCTCGGTTCCAGACAACCACAAAATGACAAGTGAAAAAGGAATTGGCAGGGAAGAGGCTTTTTCTTCTAGACAACTGTAGTTCCACACAGTGTGCAAAATAGTTTCCAAATTTTGCTAGCCAGTCAGGCTAGCTATCCCTGAAACTTACTAGCCCACAAAATAATTCACAAGCCCGAAATTTGATTATGGAAACTAAGCAAAAGATTAAAATAATAGATGAGAATAAGATATTGTCGGTATGACACAGGTTTCGTTATTAAGCTGCTGATATGATGAATATTTTATCAGGCCATAATCTTGTATGATTTAAAAGTGTATTATATCTAAACAAGTCAGAGAGAGTGGTATATTTACAAAATGACCCCCATGAAAATTCATTAGCCAGTCGGGCCAGTGATTGTGGAGATTTACTGGCCCGATTTGAGTTTTACTAGCCACAAGCTAGCTGGCCTGGTTCGATTCCCCACATGGGTACAATGTGTCAAGCCCATTTCTGGTGTCCTCCGCCATAATATTGCTGGAATTTGCTAAAAGCGGTGGGTGTAAAAACATATTCATGTACACTTTATAAGTGACATACATATTATGTAACTCATAGTAAAGATACATGATCTCACATTCTCTGTCAAGACCTTGTGTTGCAATCATACATTTAAGAGGACTGTTAGGCCAGAATAAACAATTATCCCCAATTTCATCCCTACCAAATAAGTAGTCAAAGGTAAAAGATCTAATTATCAATATATTGTGGCCTCACAATCCAGTTGGGTAAGAAATCAGGACTGACTGAGTTTGGCTTTACGCCCGCTTTTAGCAATATTCCAGCAACATCACGGCGGGGAACACCAGAAATGGGCTTCAATTGTGCCCATGTGGGGATTCGAACCCGGGTCTTCGGCGTGACGAGCCAACGCTTTAAACATTTGGCTACCCCACCGCCAAAGAAATCAGGAGAAAATCAAACATGCAAAGTTGAAAATCCTTTTGTAAAAAATAAATATTGAAGAAGAAAACACCAAAAAGTTTCAAACACCAAAGATGAGAATTATAAATTCCATGCTGTATACCAACCTTGATATTGAGATAGTTAACTTTGGAACGCACAAGGCTTGGGTAATACAAGAAGATGAGAGCTGGCGCCAGCTAGCAGCACTCCACACACCCATACCATCAAAGTACACTGATTAAACTGGCGCAAGGTATTGAGCTCCTCTGAAATATACAGGCATTATCTTCCATCAGCTGGGAAAGCTAGACTCTGATTGGCAGAAGTTAAAAATTACAACAAGCATTGGTTGCTGAAGACCAATCAAACCAATCGTCATACCTTCAGTTCTACAGAACATCCGTTGGTCAGATTGTGTTACATATAAATGATTTAAATCACTGTTGTACAAAGGTTCCGTGACATGGAACATCTATGTTTGACACAATCTTTCCTAAATATCATTAAAACAAGGAAGCATTTTAGGCTACTCTTGTAGCTTATGGTTTTGAGTTATTAGGTATTTTAGGCTATTCTTGTAGCTTATTCTGACTGTCAAAAATCAGAAGGCACAATTATCTTGATGCAAACATTTATTTCATGTATATTCTTTTAGCTTTATTCGTATTGTTTGTAATGACCAATGGTCAGCATGGTTAGTGTTTTTAGTTAGTTGGTTGATCTTAGCATATTTAAATGTTGCAACTCAGTTTTCTCAGCCATTGAGAATTTACTGACATATTATCAGCCTAAATCATATTTCAATATAGTTTTACTTCCTTTAGACCAAACTATTTGTTGATTGGTTTCTTGTATTATATTCAATATTCCAGCTATATGGCGGCGGCTGTAAATAATCGAGTCTGGGCCAGACAATCCAGTGATCAACAGCATGAGCATCGATCTACGCATCTGAGATATGATGACATGTGTCAACCAAGTCAGCAAGTCTGACCCCCTGATCCTGTCAGTTGCTTCTTACAACAAGCATGAGTTGTGAAGACCAATTCTAACCCGGCTCTTCATGGGTCTCCACAAACTACTGTTGCTAAGGATCAATTCTAACCCGGCTCTTCATGGGTCTCCACAAACTACTGTTGCTAAGAATCAATTCTAGCCCAGGATCCTCATCAAGTACTACTTCAGGTCCCGAATAGCATCAAACCCTCTGCCAAATTTGGCAGATTCGCCAACGGTCTGATAGAAGTCTACAACCCACCTGCCCCAGTGTCCAACTGTATATTTCACAATGACTTTGACTGAAGTTGTTATATGTGACATGTGACACTTGCTTCTAAATCTTATGTTTGTTAATGATTTCAATGCCAATTATAAGAAATGTTAAATCTGAAATGTGTGTCTAATTTTATTCTATTGGTCCTGTGAATTTTCAATGGGTCAGACAGAAATCTGAAACTTACAGGACCTAATGTCCTGTTACTTTGAAACACCATTTGTAAACACCGCTACTTAAGTACAGAGCATAATATGTACATACTATAAATCGCTGGAGTCAGATTTGAATGTTTATCATCAATATATGAGCGGCAAATCGTGAATCAAGCTGTCAAAATCATATCTGACCGTACTCACTACTTAAATTCGGAATACAACCTCCTCCCTTCAGGCCGCTGCTACAAAGTTCCAATTGTGAAAACTAAGAGAGCCCGTACATCCTTTATTCCAAGTACCATATCTCTCTTAAACAAATGTGAAGATACCTAAATCAAAGAATTTATGTAAATATGTTTGGTATCTCTCTAATGTGTCAGTAGCTCTGCTGATGTAACACAAATTCCTGAAAAGGCATTAAAGTATTATTCTATTCTATTCTATACTATCCACAACTACTGGGAAAATATATAAATGGAGAAGAGTCATGAATGTAACATAATACAGAAGATGACATTGCTAAACTTTCTCCCCTTTCTGTTGACCATTAAAGATGGATACATACAGCTACTTTCTAGACGAGGTTTTTGATTGAAGTCAATAGACCACTAAGTTAGTCAAATATCAAATATCAT